GCAACAATGGACAATGTCTCCCCTTATAAAGTTGGTCCATATGCCCTTCATACACACAGGGCACCTGGTGACTATTTCATACGGAGAAAGGCTATGTCTGCCAAAAGGAGCTGTCAGGTCGAGGAGCACCCTGGCTTTTGGCCAGGGGAGATGAACAGCTTCTGAAATTTTAGCTACCTGAATTTTTGTTGTTTGATCGGTACTTTCCACCAATCCGGAGACTGGGTTGATAAGCACACTACAAATGCCCAATGTCACAGATGGATTGCATTATTTGTCCAGTGACATGAGTTCCTTAGTCCCTATGTAATTCAAATAGTTTCCCAATTTGGATTTTTTTCCCCAATAACTATTGACCTACCATTAAGGCTGTTGTGCTCCTGCAAGGAATACCTCACGAGTCAGAAACATGCAGATCGTACTAATATATGTTTGTATCCCTGAGATGGTGACAGTTGAATAAAATCCAATTCCTAAATCTCAAATGGATATAATGGAAGTGGGAAATGTTCTTGGGACACATGCAGTGGTCTCCCTGGACTACGTTTAGGACAGATCGAACATCTGCTGCACACTTTATGAGCTAGCGAGAGGTCTCCAGTGATAAAACTTGCTCCATGGAATCTTTTCGGGATCTCAATCTGTTAGCTCACGTACATGTTGAAGTATAGGCAGTTGAGCTCCTACAGGTAAGACTGGTTTATGACTGGGTTCCAGCCATATCTGTCTGGGTTGAGGTTCCCCCCTCCCCCTTTTTTCCCCCATATTCTCTTTTTTCTTCTGTAGTCTGTTGGAACTTCAAAAGAGATTCTTTTATTGATTTAGTAGGGAGCAAGGAACATTCTCAGATCTAGATAATTTGGCTGCTTAATGTATCAGTACACATGGTTGGCCAATTTAATGTACGTTGTTTAATCAGAGTGACAAGCTTTTCACCGAGTTCTTTTTAAAAATGCTGAATTTAGTCACTTTGATCATCTTTAAAACTAGAGACAGACTTGAGTATTGTTTAGAATTTTTTCCAAAGCCTCCAAGGCAAACCAGGCTTTCTCCCCGCTGCTGGGTCCCGGCCCAGCCGTTTCTGGGTGAACATCTCGGGTGTGGCTTGGTGAAGCCCGTGGAGTGATGTCCGGCATTGTCCCTGGTCTATCCCCCACAGAATTCTCCCAGCGAACCTTACTTAGCTGTTCTGTTGCTGTTTTCAGAAACCAGTGGGCACATTATTGGGAATGGGTCAGAATGGCCAGGATCCCATGCTCTAACAGTTAAGGAAAATTGCAAAGCCGTTAAGGTCACGAAGACTGTCCCGGAAATCCTGATCCCCCGATCCTGTGCTAGTCCGAGGAGTGTATACAATCGTTGGTCTCCCTCTTCCCGAGACTGGCTTTCCCTACAGGGAACTCCGAGATTTCCGGGCTTCCGAGTCCATCTTGGTGTGAATTTCTACTCTGTCTTCCCTAGGTCAGTAGGGAGCGGTGGAGAAGTAACAGCAGGTAAGAGAGGAATAAGGAAGGAAGGGGAAGGGCAAATCTAGAGGCTTTGTACAAGTTACACAAAGAGCCTGTAGGAGAGCGGAGGTTCTCGGAGTTTATCAACCTTAGGGGCACAATTCTCCATGTTAATTTGTTTTCTGTGAAGATTTAGTCTGAACAGATTGCTAGGACACTGTGCGCTGGCTTAGGGTGGACTGCGCATGGGCTGAGCTCCAGGGGGCTGTCACCCCTCGAGTCTCTTCACCCTTCTTACATGTCCTGGTTTCCCCCCCAGGTGCTCACACGACTGGAGACGGTGCTGGGAACCAGCCTTTGTGCGCAGGTGCCCAGAACAGTGTCTTGTTTAATTATAGTTGTCGGCATTCTCTCTGGGACCCCGGCTCGTCTCGGGGGCCACCCGCAGTGTCCTCCTCAGAGACTGTTAGTTACCTGAGAATACCCAAAATTCGAGCTGGAAGAAATGCCCCTTCTATTTGGAGCTGAATAAGTTCAGACCTTCATTTATAAGCAGACGGTTTAGTTCAGACTCCCAGTAGGTACAGCCAGTTGAAAAGCCTAAATTAAAACCAGCCACCCATTTCAACTCCTAGCCCACAGTGCCACTCCCAGGGCCACCTGAGAAGAGCTCATCCGGCCGGGGTGGCCCAGCAGCTGAGTGTCAACCCTGCACCAAGAGGTCACAGGTTCGATTCCCGTCAGGGCACATGCCCAGGTTGTGGGACGATCCCTGGAGGGGGGCGTGCAGGAGGCGGTCAATTAATGTTCTCTCTCATCGATGTTTCTGTCTCTCCCTCTCCCTTCCTCTCTCTATAATCAATAAAGGAAAAAAATTAATAATAATAAAAAGAAAAAGACCAGCTCAAAGTCAGAGCCTCTACCCCCGCAAAGGGGAGGGCCTGGATTCTAAGAGGCAACTCTTCCTCTTCCTCTTCAGTGACCAAGGTTTGCAGCCTCCCCGGTAGGAAGTGACACCGACCTTGTGAGGACGCAGAGGGGCAAGGCCATTACCTCTGACGTTGAGCCCAGGGACACCATGAACGTCAAAGCCAAGATACCAGACAAGGACACCCTGTCTGACCACGCGCGTCCGACTGTTGCTGGCAAACAGCTGGAGGTCGGCTGCCCTCCCGGCTGCCATGTCCAGAGCCCACCTGCCCTTGTCTGGTCTGGAAGGGCCACCATCAAGGCTCTGCCAGCTCGCCCAGCACAGCTGCGACAGGATCACGCTGTCCACTGCAGGAGGCGTGCGGCCACACCGACCAACCCAGCTGCGAGGGGGTCCTCCTGCCTGAGTCCTGCGCCCCGGGGCCTATGTAAACCCCCTTTCCCTGACGGGAGCAGTGAAATAGACATCTCACCCAAGCCCCCCATGCAAAGCGAGGTGCGGTGGTGCCGCCGGAACCAGCACTGGTCCGAGTTTGGGGGTCCTGGGTGAGCCCTGGCAGCCCCGCCAGAACCAGCACGGGTCCGAGTTCGGGGGTCCTGGGTGAGCCCTGGCAGCCCCGCCGGAACCAGCACGGGTCCGAGTTCGGGGGTCCTGGGTGAGCCCTGGCAGCCCTGCCGGCAGCGCCGAGGGAAGAACACCCCGCCGAGGAAAGAACACCCCGTCTAGGAAAGTCTCGGAAGAGTTCGTTCAGCAAAACTAATGACAACTGCTGGGGAGCGAATTCCAACAAACAGACGAGGCTCCGGAGGGGGCGGCCCTGCAGCTGTCTCCGCCCCACGCAGACGAAGGGCCAGGGGCGGCGCAGGACACCCACCGCGGCAGAGGGCGGAGGCGGGGAGCAAAGCGGGGAGTCTGGGGTCTGGGTCAAAGCAAAGCAAACACATGCAGTTCTCCACGCGGGCGGGCGCACTAGACGGGATCACTCGCGTAGAGATGGTGCGGGACCCCGAGATCACTGACATTTCTAAGGTGTGTCATCAGAGACAGACAATTTCCAAGGTAAAGATTGACCGCTGCCAAGAAGGGGTCGGCTGGGACATGACCACGCCCAAGACCAGCTTCGGGCTCCCAGCAGGGATTTCCACGTTCGCACCGCCAGGGGGTGCGCTGGTCTCCGGGTCTGCAAGGCGCGCCTTCGGGCCTCCCTGAGTGTGTCACCCCACACTCAAACCACACATTTCATTCCGACGCCATCCAGTCGATGATGTCACTGCTAGTCTGTCACACTCTGTGCCTTCTAAAGGGTACTGATTCTTACTTCTCTTTTCAGACCTTAAATGTTACTGAGAAGCCTCTCTCAGCCCCTCGGGCAGAGGTACCAGCCCCCCAGCCTGTGCGCTCAGAGCCGCGGGGCAGGTAGCGGGACAGGTGTGAGCGCCCGCCCTCCAGCCTGCGCGCTCGGAGTCGTTGCGGGACAGGTAGCGGTACAGGCGTGAGCGCCCGCCCTCCAGCCTGCGCGCTCAGAGCCGCGGGGCAGGTAGCGGTACAGGTGTGAGCAGCCGCCCTCCAGCCTGCGCGCTCAGAGCCGCGGGGCAGGTAGCCGGTACAGGTGTGAGCGCCCGTCCTCCAGCCTGCGCGCTCAGAGCCGCGGGGCAGGTAGCCGGTACAGGTGTGAGCACCCGCCCTCCAGCCTGCGCGCTCAGAGCCGCGGGGCAGGTAGCGGTACAGGTGTGAGCACCCGCCCTCCAGCCTGCGCGCTCAGAGCCGCGGGGCAGGTAGCGGTACAGGTGTGAGCAGCCGCCCTCCAGCCTGCGCGCTCAGAGCCGCGGGGAAGGTAGCCGGTACAGGGGTGAGCGCCCGCCCTCCAGCCTGCGCGCTCAGAGCCGCGGGGCAGGTAGCGGGTACAGGTGTGAGCGCCCCACTCGGTACACTCCTGCACTGTGTGCCTCAAAGCCTGGCTTCTCCATCTGTCAGAGTGGTTGTTAGCACTTACCCCACAGGACTGTGAGATACATAAAACCAGCCCAGTAGTTAGGCAAAAGCCCTGAAAATATTCTCTTCACCTTCTTACAAACCTTGAAATGACTAACACGCGCCAGATGCCATGAGCACGTCACAGGTGAGCGGGACACAGGTCCTGTGCGATGGCAGCAGGGCGAACAGCACAGGGAGCCTGCCGGCAGCAGCGTCGCCATGGGGCGGGTCACTCAGTGACTTCTTGTGAGCGGTCAACATGCATAAACAATACCATATAACCCCAAACGTTGTATGAGGGTAGACTTAAAAACAAACAAGTGACAACTTCTAGCAACTGGCATCAGATTAACTATCAGGTTACATTCTGGGTTTGAAAAGAATTAAAGATATAAATCGTCTGTTTCAAATGTTGGTTGTAATATAACTTTGACATAAGATATATTTAATGAAGTGAGCAATCAGTAGTATATATTGAATTTCAACTAAATTTGGACAAAAATGTTCTATGCTCTAGCACATACAAAAAATTAAAAAGCCTATCTAAGCATTTAATAAATCACTTATAAAATATGTCATATCCATAAAGTTTATTTTTAAAAATTGTTAAAAATTAATCATACAGGAATATTCATTAATATACTTAAAAAGTTTGTTCCCCATGTTGAAGGAAAATACATTAGCAACATCTTCCAACACCATCTTTATAAAAGTAAAACTTCTAGATGCTGAAATGTACTACAGTAGATTCTCCAGTTCACACACCTAGTCCCAGGGCTGGAAACCCTCCCTCTCCCTCCCCAGAGGTGGCAGTTCTTGTACTAATAATGACATTCAATGGGCGAGACTGCCACCGGCTCTTGAGTTCACGCTGCATCACTGCCGGAGCAGGTCTTCCCCACTCGTCGAACGTAATTATCTTAGATCTGCATCTGACTTAAATACAAATAGAAACATACGCCCCACGATTGTAAACATTCACCCAGAGCTTCCAGAGTATACGAGTAATAGGGGTGGCCCAGGGTCACTCAAATGTTTCTCACTCATTTGGATATTGCTGAGATTAAGTTCTGAAGGCAAATTATCACAAGCCTTACTTGTATTTCTGTAAGAAAGTAGTCGAAAACACCTGAAAGTCATTCTAAAGACTGTATTAAGCACCATTTTCACTTACTTAAATATAGAGTTAAATTTAGAAGTACATGTATGATCATTAATATCCAAAATTAAAAATAACCGTGGGTTTCAAGCCCCCTTCAGTGAACACGTGTGGGTTCTGAGTTCCAATGATGCGGATGGGGTCACTCATGCACACCGAGGGGCAACCCCCAGGGCCACATGCTACCCCTAAGTCTGAGGCACAACTATCACTTCTGCCAGTGGGCACTGTACAAGCAGGTTAAGGCTGTATTCGGCTGTCAGAGTTCACCCTCCTCTTTAGTATTCTTACTACACAGATCACTTACACGAGTCAGAATTTCATAGGCGGGAGGTGAAGAGCCCCCAAACACTTTGTAAATATTATTCCCCATACAATTCATCGCAGCCTATTTACAGAGGGGGGCTCATCGCAACCACTGGAAACGCAACCGCGTCTGAGGCCTCTTCTCCCCTCGGCCAGGGCCCCCCGGCGGCTCACTGCCAGCCGCTCTGGGACAGGCCCGGCTGCAGCGGGAACGGCGCCCCCGACGTGGAGGGGAAGCCGGGAAACGCGTCCGGCTGCGCGGGGTAGCTCTCCAGCGCCGAGGCCGAGTGGACCTGCGGAAAGAGGGACAGGCAGCTTGGGGGTGTCCGCCCACCCTGGCCCGCACCTGCTCCCGCCTCGCAGCACAACTGACGCTGGAGGCGCAAGAAAGGAAACACCCTGCGCGAGTTCAGTCCCTCAGTCCCCTGGATTCTTAAAGAGAAGTTCAGCCTCTTCCGATGGCAGAGGTACAGAGAAATGCCATTAAAATATTCAATATTCTTTAAAAAAAAAATCTTTGTAGAAAAACTTTGCTTTTATGGTCCACTATTTTAGCTTAAATTTTAAAAGATAAGCTAACATTTAACTGTATAAAGATTCCATTTGTAAAATCTCAAAACTGAGATTTGAAAATATATAAGGAGGAAAAACAATTCATAGAGATGAATATATTCTGGCACCTTCGTTACCTTTCTGAAGATAAGGGTAATTTGCAGATTTGGGGAAAACTAGTTATCAAATCTGCAGACACTCTGCTAAGAGTCCTTTTGGGCGGTGTTGGGACAGCACCGAGGGTGCAGTAAGGTTGTGGCCCGCCTGCTGCCCCCCCCCCCCCATCACCTGCTGCAGCAGAGCCCCCTGGGCGCACGCCTGCTGCCCCACCCCCTTCACCCGCTGCAGCAGAGCCCCCTGGGAGCACGCCTGCCGCCCCTCCCCCGCCCACCTGCTGCAGCAGAGCCCCCCCCACCTGCCGCCCCTCCCCCGCCACCTGCTGCAGCAGAGCCCCCCCCACCTACCTGCCGCCCCTCCCCCGCCGCAGCAGAGCCCCCCGCCTACCTGCTGCAGCAGAGCCGACTGGGCAGCCGCGCTGTGTTGCAGCCCCTGCAGGTTCGGCTGGGCAGAGCTCTGGGAAAACCCGGGGACGCCTGGGAGGGACAGAAGGCCGGGGAAGACGGAACTGCCTGCAGCTGGAAGTCCAGATGATAAGCTAGAATGATAGAAAATGGGTTAAATTACAAGAAAGACATAAAAACGATTGCTTTTGTATTTGTCAGGTACTTTTTTTTTTTTTGGTACCTGCCCCCAGCGGGAACCAAACCCGAAACTCTCTGGTCCGCAGGCCGAGGCTCCAACCTCTGGGCCAAACCGGCCAGGGCTCAGATATTGTCTCAACATGTAAAAATATTAGAATTTCTATTGGAAGGAACCATAAAAGTCAGCCACTCACAAAATTACTTTGCTATAAAGTATACTATTCAGAACTCAATTGTCCACGTTCTGCATAATTACTTTCGTTGCTTTGTAATCAACAAGTTACCCAATACAAACCCTAAGCTGATCTGAGCAGGCATATCTATCATCACGACTGAAGAGCCACGAAACATGAAGCACTGAGTTTCAGGCCAGAAAACCACTGCGCACCGCCCCCTCTGATTTCCCCTCGGGTGACTTCGGGGCGCAGCCTGCCACGTACCCGGCCTGCGCGGCGAGCGCCGAGTTGAAGTTGGAGCTGAACGCCGAGGCGAATCCGGGGAGGACGGGGGCCGGGGACGGGGCGGTGGCCGCCACAGGGAGCGGGGTCACTGCGGCGACGGGCGAGGGCGCCTGCAGCCCCGGGAAGGAGGGCAGAGCAGGGGTGACGCTGGGGGCGCTGGAGGCCGAGAAGCCGGGGTAGGCGGGGCCGGAAGCGGGCAGGGGCCCCTGCGCCCCGAAGAGGGAGGGGCCGGCGGCGCACAGGCCCAGGGGGAAGGGCGCGGCCGAGGCCGCGGAGGCGGGGAGCCCTGAGGGCGCAGCCGCGCTGGAGGCGGGCGCGGCGGTGGACGGGGTGACCGTCAGAGTCCCTGGCAGAGATGCTGGGGGGTTGAGGGGCGGGTTCCCCGCGGAAGGGAAGTGAGTGGTCAGGGAGGTGAAGGGAGGAAGCGCCGAGAACACGGGCGCGATCGGGGCGGCGGGGCCGTGCGGCGGGAGGGGCGCGGAGGCCAGGGGGTTGGAGACATTCACGGGGGCGCCCAGGCCGGCCAGGCCCGGCAGCGCGGGGTTAAGGCAAGTGGGTAAAGTGAGGGGCACCGACGCCGCAGGGTAGGCGTGAGCCAGCGGCCCTGACAACCCTAAAGTGCCGTGGGAGGGCGCCGCGTGGGGCGGGCCTTTGAAGGCCGAGGGGGTGGGGCTCGTGGGCTCAGTCTTGATGGTGACGGGGACGGGGATCGTCACAGCCACAGCCGGGCTGGGCGCCACGTGCAGGTCGGAGCTGCCCGGGCGGGGGCCCGGCAGCAGCGGGGCCGAGGGGCCCGAGCCCGGCCCCGAAGGCAGGGCCGACGGGGCGGTGGCGAGAGGGGACTGGCCGGGTAAGGCGGGCGGAGAGGGAGCGGCGTTGGCCACCGGGGACGGCAGGCCCGGGAACACGGCCAGCCCCGGGGTGGCGGTGGCGGAGCCGGGCCGGGCGGCCGCGGCACAGCACTTGCCCGGGGCCCCCGCAGGAGGGTCGGAGCTGTGGTTGGGGACAGGGCAGAGGGCGGGCAGCCCGCTCGTCACCGCAGCGGACAGAGCCGAGGAGCTGATCAGGGTGGCGTCGCTTGAGGTCAGAAAGCCTTTCAGAGCCGACAGCAGAGGGCTGTTCACCCCAAGAGGACAGACTCCCCCAGGAGCCGCACCCCCCGCGATCACAGAGGGAGCTGCGCTGGACAGGCCTTGGGATGCGGGCGTCAAGGGCAAGGGGAGCCCGGCGAACACGGACAAGGAAGCAGAACTCGGGGTGCCGGCGGACGCCGCCGTGGAGGTGGCGGGGAAGGGGAGGCCGAGGAACGCGGCGGAGGCAGGAGCGAAGGTGTCAGTGGGCGCAGGAGTGGCCCGCGGTGCAGACGTGGCCGCAGGGGCGGGGGCAGGAGCGGCGGGAGGGCCCGGCAGCGGGACGAGGCCAGGAAAGACGGCCGGGACGGGCGCAGACGTCGTGCTGTGCACAGAGGTGACAGGTGCCGCCGGCAACGACAGGGTTCTGATCACGGTCGGATTGGGCACGGACGGCTGAGGCGTGTGCGCGGCCGAGGACACCTGCCCTGGGAACACAGGGAGGATCGTGCTCAGCATGTTCAGCCCAGACACGGTGGCGGCTGCCGATGCGGATGGGTGACTTGCCGCCTTGACGGGGGACGCCGTGGGGACAGGCGTGGCTGCAGGCGCTGCCGGGCTAGAACCGTGCGGCGGGAACAGCTGACTTGCTGCGGCAGAGAACGCTGTGGGGAGACAGGCAAGAGTGTGTCATCAAACCGAAACATCAAATTTTAAGTCAAAGGAAGTGCATACACATTTTGTGATATTTAACAAACATCAGAGGAAACTGTGACACGTGTAACAGGCCAGCCCAGTGTGCATGAGTCCATCACCGTGCCTTTCACTAGGAGGCCGTTAGGTCCGGTGGTCTCTCGACCCGCTCAGACAGCCCTCCAGTTCCCAGGGAGGACGCTCTAGAAGTCAGCGAACCGCCCCTCCTCCCAACTCTACCATCTGCAGAGCTCATCTTGGCTGAGACATGCTGGCCAGCTCACTGCCTGCGCCCTCGAGCCCTCTCCAGGCCCCCACGCGGACCCTGCAGAGACCCAAGGCTGGGGGGAACGGTTCTGGGTTGAAATCTGCGGGTGCAGCTGGGTCTGGCGGCGTGGGCACTTGGACATCCGGCCTGGTGGGAACCCACGTGCAAGCCGGCACAACAAGGTGAGATTGGAGGTCAGGCAGGGCCGAGGCCCTGGAAGGGGAGGACGTGCCAGCCCCCTTCCTACAAGCTCGGGACCCCACCACCACCACCTGACTCGGTGAAGACCATCCTGTCCGGGGCACGATACCGCAGAGCCCAGTTCTTTGGGGGAGGGGAGCAGCGCGGACAGGGACATCCCATGGGCGAGGCCGAGGCAGACGGAAGGTTAATTGTCTTTTGACATTCATCTCTTATTTCTCTCTCGCTTTTTATTCTATTCTCTTTTATTTTTATTTTTACTTTATTGTTTATTTTTCTTTTCTTCTCTCATTTCCTATTCTATTTTTAATTTATTCATTATTTTTATTTTAAAAATTATTAATTTATTTATATTTTATTTTTCATTTTTATTCTATTTCTTTTCTTTCATATGGTCTTTTTTTTCTCCTCTAAATCTTTTGATTTTGTGTCTTTGGTATTCGTTTATTCCTTTTCTTACCCTTTTTTTGTCTTTGTTGTTTTTTTGTGTTGTTTTGGTTTGGTCTTGTTTTGTTCTGTCAGCAACTGTATAACAGCAGGCACACGTGGTCAGAGCTGAGCCTCACAGAAACCCAGACCCAAATACAGCAGAGGCCCATGGAACCCACACAAGGAAGTCCTAGAGCTCACAGCTCAGGTCAGAAGGCCACTCACCATGATGGGGATGCACAGCGGTACATCCAACACTCAGAAACAAACAAACAGCAACCACAGGGGAACAAGAACGAGGCTCCCTGTGAAAGAGTAGGAGGAATACCCAGAAAGAGAGGTAGATGAAATGGAGACAGCAACTGATCAGAAACAGAGTATAAAATAATGGTTCTAAGAATACTCAACAACATGAAAAAGGACACAGAATCCATGAAAAACAACTGGTCAGAAGTGAAGAATGACATAGCTGAAATGAAAAACATTCAGGAAGGAATTAATACTGTAGTAGGTTAGAAGAAGAGGATCGAATCAGCAATGTAGAATACAAGGTAGAAAAAAATCACTCAAGAGCACCAAAAAGAAAAAAATGATTAAAAAACATGAGGGTAGTTTAAGAAAGCTTTGGGACAAGAGAAAACAGAACATCTGCATCATAGTGATATCAGAGGGAGAGAAAGCGAGCAAGGACTAGAGAACCTGTTTAAAGAATTAATGACAGAAAACTTACTTAACCTGCTAAAGGAAAAAGTCACACAAGTTCAGGAAGCACAGAGAGTCCCAATGAAGATGTACTCAAAGAGATCCACACCAACACACATCATAACTAAAATGGCCAAGGATAAAGACAGAGAGAGAATCTTGAAGGCAACAACAGAGAGGCAGTTAGTTACCTACAAGGAAGCCCCCATAAGGCTGTCAGCAGATTTCTCAATGGAAATATTTCAGGCCAGGAGAGACTGGCACGAAGTATTAAAAGTAATGAAAAGCAAGAACCTGCATGCAAGACAGTTCCTCTATCCAGCAAGGCTATCATTTAAAACTGAAGGTAAAATAAAGAGCTTCCCAAACAAAAGAAGGCTAAAAGAGTTCAGTACCACCAAAGCAGCATTGCAAGAAATGCTAAAGGGACTGCTTTTAGAAGAAGAAACAGAGAGAGAAAGGAACATAGGCATTAAGAAAAAGATGGTATTAAATAAGCACATGTCATTAATAATCTTAATAGATTAATGTAAATAGATTAAATGCTCCAATCAAATAACATGGGGCAGCTGAATGGATAGGAAATAACAACCAATATATATGCTGTTTATAAAAGACCAAACTCAGAACAAAATATTCACACAGGCTGAAAGTGAAGGGATGATAAATAAAATTCCATGCAAATGTAAACAAATAATAAGCTCAGGTAATAATACTTATCTCTGACAAAATAGACTTCAAAACAAATACCAAAATTAGAGACAAAGTTACTACACACTACATTGATCCATCCAACAAGAGGATAACCTTTATCAACATACATACACCCAATATAGGAGCACTTTAATATATAAATAAAAAATTCTTGGTGGACTTTAGCACCCAACTCTCATCATTGGATAGACCATCCAGACCAAAAAATCAAAAAGGAAACAAACACCTTAAATGATACCCTAGATCTAACAGATTTAATTGTTATTTATAGAACATTTTATGCCAAAGCAAAATAATATATATTCTTCTCAAGTGCAAATGAAAAATTCTCAAAGACTATACACATGCTATGACACAAAAGAAGTCTCCAGAAGTTCAAGAAGACTGAAATATCAAGCATCCTCTTGGATCACAATGGAATGAAACTTGAAATCACACATAAAAAAAACTCAAAAACATTCAGAGTCATGGAGACTAAATAGGATATTATAAAAAAAATGAAAGGATGACCAATGAGATCAAGTAAGAACAAAAACTTCCTGGAAACAAAATAAACATACAACAATACAAAATCTATGGAGCACAGCAAAAGCCATCCTAACAGGGAAATTCATAGCATTATAGGCCTACCTAAAGAAACATGAAAAATCTTTTTAAAAAAAACTATCTAACTCTACACCTATAAGAAGGATAAAGAAAACAGGAAAAGCCCAGAGTAAGGAGAAGGAAGGAAATAATTAAGACTAGAGCGGAAATAAGTTACATAGAGACTATAAAAACAATGCAAAAAAATATCAATGAAACCATATCAATGAAACCAAGAGCTGGTTCTCTGACAGATAAACAAGATTGATGAATATTTAGCCAGACTCACCAAGAAACAAAGAGAGAAAGGACCCAAATAAAAAAAAACAAAAATGAAATAGGTGAAGTAACAAGTGACATCGCATAAATGCACTGACTGTAAGAAAATACTATGTCAACAAAATGGACAACCTAGGTGAAATGGACAAATTCCTAGAAACATACAATCTTCCAAAACTAAAAAAGAATCAGAAAGCATGAATAGACCGAAAACAACTGCTGATAGTGAAGCAGTAATAAAAAAAACCCAACTCTCAGCAAACTAATGTCCTGGACCAGATCACTTCACAGAGGAGTTTACCAAACATTAGCAACTTACACCTAATCTCCTCCAACTGTTCAAAAAAATTAAAGAGGAAGGAAGACTTCGATGCTCTTTTTACAAGGCCAGCATTATCCTAATTCCAAAACCAGATGGAAATACTAAAAAGAAAGAAAATTATGGAAAACAAAATTATAAAAAACAATATCCCTGATGAACATTGATGTTAAAATCCTCAATACCAGCAATGTATTAAAAAAATCCTACCCCATTACCAAATGTGATTTATTCAGGAATGCAGGCTGGTATCATGTTTGCAACTCAATAGAGGTGATACATCACATAAACAAAATGAAGGATATAAAGCACATGATCATATCAGTAGATGCATAAAAAGCATTCAACAAAATCCAGCACCAAAGTATGATAAAAACTCTCAGCAAAGTGTGAATAGAAGGATCATACCTCAACATAATAAAGGACATATATGACAAACATGTCCTATAATGAGCTCAGGTAATAATACAGCTCACATCATACTTAAGAGGCAAAAACTGTTTCCCTTAAGAACAAGCACAACAGTGGGATATTCGTTTTCACCACTCTTCTTCAAAACAGCACTGGAAGACCTAGTCACAGCGATCAAACAAGAAAAAATATAAAAGACATCCAAATTGGAAAAGAGGAAGATGACTTATGCTATACAAAATAACTGGGAAAAAAAACACCAAAAAACTACTAGATTTAATAAATATGGCAAGGTAGAAGGACACAAAATTAATATTGAGAAATTGATGACATCTTAATACACCAATAATGAACTCTCAGAAGAGAGACTTAAAAAAAATCCCATTTACCACTGTAGCCAAAACAAAAAATAAGATACCTAGGATTAAACTTAATCAAGGAGGCAAAAGACCAGTACATGGAAAACTACAGGACACTGAAAAAAGAAATGACAGACAGATGCAAACAAGTGTCGCATGCACTGTTCATGGACTGGAAGAGTTAACATTATCAGAATGTCCATACTAGCCAAAGTAATGTATAGATTCGATGCAATTCCTATTAAAATATCAATGGCCTATTTCACAGGTCTAGAAAAAAATATTCCAAAAATGTATATGGAACCCAACAATAGCCTCAGGAATTTTGGAAAAGAACAAAGCTGGCGTGATCACAATACCAGATCCCAAATTTTAGTACAAAGCCACGGTAATCAAAACAGCCTGGCACTGGCACAAGAACAGGCGTATAGATCAATGGAGAAGAACAGAGACCGAGAAATTGACCTATGGCATTATGGTCAATTAATATTTTACAAAGAAGGCAAGAGCATACAATGGAGTAAAGAGGGTCTCTCCAATAAATGGTGTTGGGAAAATCGGACAGGTACATGCAAAAAAATGAAACTGCTCCACCAACTTACTCCACTCACAAGAACAAACTCAAAATGGTAAAGGATTTAAATGAAAATCACAAAATCATAAAAATCCTAGAAAATAACATAGGCAGGAAATCTCAGCCATTTC